GCTGTTATAAATACTCTTGAACATAATATTTCAATATTATGCACATTTGGGGCCTATACGAAGAATGGAATTGCTGAATACAACTTTATTAGATTTGACTAAATGGCTCTCCAAAATGGATGTACCAATTTATACTTCCAAGAGCAATGTAGAGCATTTCTAATTTCCTAATTCTCCACATCCTAGCAAACACAAGGTAAGGTCTGACCTTTTAATTCTGCCAATCTGATGGCTACAAAAATAATATCTCTTTTGTTGTTCTTATTTCATTTTCCTGATTTTAAGTGAGATAATCAAACATTGATTTTCTACGTAATGGACATTTCCTCTAATTCTGTATACTATAGGTAAAGGTGATGATAAAATGTGAAAAATCACTTGATTTTTTTTTAAAAAGCCCATAACAATAAATCACCCAAATATGAGGTTTTTTTTATTATACATTAATTATACATTTACCCTTTCAACTAATACACATTGAAAATCTGATATATGCCAGGCCTGGATTACAAAGATGACTAAGATATTGTGTGGAAACAGAAATGAGCCCAACTAATCATAAGGCAGTGAGGTAAATGCTATAATAGACAAAGATTCAAAATATATGCCTGGAAAAATAGCATTCATCCTTCAAGAGTCCTTCTTGTAGATTGGCCAGTTAGCTCTGTTGGTTACATCATGGTGTTATAATACCAAAGTCAAGAGTTCAGATCCCCTCACCCGCCAGCCACCAAAAAAAAAAAAAGGTCCTTGGGCCGGCCCGGTGGCGCACTCGACGGAGTGCGGCGCTTGGGAGCGTGGTGGCGCTCCCGCCGAGGGTTCGGATCCCAGATAGAGACCGGTCCGCTCACTGGTTGAGCACGGTGTGGGCGCGACACTGAGGGTTGCGATCCCATTACCGGTCATGAAAAAAGACAAAAAGGAAAAATAAAAAGTCCTTCTTGCTTCTGCAAAGTAGTAACAACTAGCATTGATTACTTGTTTTGATTTATTCACTGTGCTAAATGCATCTCATTTGATCTTCACAACAACCCTAAGAGGCAGTTACTATTACTTTCTCCATTTCACAGAAGAAGGAACTAAGACACAGAGAGGTTGAATAGTTTTTCCAAGGTGGTAGCAGAACCAGGACTAGAAGCCAGGCAGTCTGACTTCAGAATCTATAGCCTATGTTCTTAAGCATCTTACATTATTTGGGCTCCTTAATCTAATCCCTTTACTTCTTCTTCCTCCTTCCAAAGTAAAGTCAGAGGATACTATTTTGTAGTCTCATTCTAGGAATACCTCTATTGGAGATGCTACTGTTTTGAACTATTATGTTCAAGTGTCTGTTTCCTCCTTTAGAAGAGGACCATATTATTCTCTTTAGACTGCATAGCACAAAGTAGGTGTTCACTAAATATCTTAGTGAATAGACAAATGCTATGGGATCACCAAGGATAAAAGAATTGATTATAAACGTGATGATCTCAACCATCTTGAAGGAGGAAGAAATGTACACAGCAAGCAAACAGGCTAGGCTGTAAAAGAAGCGTTTGCTGCCTGTTCAAGAAGCCTCATACAGCTTGGGATGACTGGAGAGCAAATATTCACTGGGGAGGGTAGAGAGAGGGTGTTAAAGGACAAGGAGAGAGAAAGACAAAGGCTGCTGAAGGTGATAGATTTTTTTTCTCCTATAGGTGAAAAAATGGCTCTGAAAGAGTGTAAATCCACAGGAAACTTATAGGCTGCTCTGAGTTATTTGTTCTCGCACTTTCAAAATGTGCCCTCAAAAGGGCTTATGGAATAGTATTTTTACGCCAACAACAAGAACAGAATTCTAGAGAATTCTTTCAAAAGTAACTGTTAAAGAAAATGTCAGCCTTTTATAAAAGCTCTGCCCAAGCAACCTTGGAAACTTCTTGAGATGAACCATATTAAACACCTACTGAGTTCTCCAAGTGCACTTTAAGCTAACTTTTGCTGGAAAGGAAATCTCACTTGTACCGTCTCCAAAACATGTGTAGACTTCTGGTCTAATGTTTTGTTGCCGTTACCATTAATTTTTTTTCCTCCAGTGAGAGGATAGAACTTCACCTGTATATTTGCAGTTTTGGGTTTTTTTTTTCCAAAGTGTAAGTGTGACATATGACATGAATCTGGCCTAACATCCAACAAGGAGGACTGCGGCCCAGAGGCATAAAGGACTGATTTGCTTAGGGGATTTACTGAAGTCAGCAACCATGTGACAGTAAGAACAAAGACAGATTAGAAACCTGAGCCAGCTGAAAGTTACATAACAAGAAGACATACTTGAGTAGTAAAATGAGAAAAACACTGAGAATGGAAAGGGAAGTCTAAAAGTTGGCTTTAAAAAGAAGCAGCAACCTAGTAGAAAAGGAGATTAAACAGTTTATTTTTCAAAGAAGGAGGAACTAGTTCTAAAAAACAAGGCTGCCTGGCACTGACATAATGTAACTGAAGTGGTGGAGTTAGCATGGACAGGAGAATGCCCATATGTGATATAGCACAGAAATCAGGAAAATTCTACACATTGTGGTATTGAGTAAGGACCTAGTGTTCATAGAGGATGACTAGTCAGCTACAACTGTGGTTCATATTTGGTACCACTAAACCAATTCTGTCACGCCCATTTTTCACACACTCTATAGAGCTTAGTACAAATCACTGAACTATAAGAACCCTAGGATTATTCTATAAAAACTCAGAAAAAGAGGTTATTAAGGCATTTGTGTTTGCCATGATTATATTTATTTCTCAGTGAAACAATAATTTGTTAAAAGATTACCCATTTTAAAGTGCCTTAATAGGAAATACTTCTGTATTTGTCTCCTATGGCTGTTGTAACACATTATCACAAACTTGGTGGGATTAAACAGTACAATTTATTCTCTTACAGCTCTAAAGGTCAGAAGTCCAAAACGGGTTTCACTTGTCAGAAGTCCAAAATGGGTCTCTAAAATAAAAATATTGGCAGGACCACATACCTTCTGGGGGTTCTAGGGAAGACTGTTCCCTTGCCTTTTCCAGCTTCTAGAGGCTGCCCACATTCCTTGGTTCATGGCCCCTTACCATCTTCAAAACTAATAATGGCTGGTGGAGTCTTTCTCATGCTGCATTACCCTAATGGTGGCTCTTCTTCTGCTTCAAGATCCACTTTTAAAGATGTGATTACATGCAGATAATCCTGACTAACTTCCCTAATTAATTTTAAGGCCAACTGATGAACAACCTTAATTGCATCTGCAACCTTAATTCCCCTTTGCCATGTAAGGTTACATATTCACAGGTTCTGGGGATTTGGGATTTCCTTATCTTTTGAGAGTAATTATTCTGCCTAGCACAACTTCCAAAATTAAAATATATTGTGCAAGATGGACAATCAATCTATCAATATTGAAATCTTAGATTTGTTCAGCACATTTACAAACACATTCTTCTATATGTCTGAAAGGCAAACCTTGTACATAAAGTATGACCAAATAGGTTGGTATGCCTTTTTGTAGGATTCCTGGCTCAAGGACCTAAATACTTTGCACATTCTGACAGCTTAAAAAGATATATAACAACTACTGAAATTCAAAAACTATCTCTTTTTGGGGGAATAACAATATCCTAAAATCATTACTTTTTTTTTGTCAAAACAATAAATTTACACTGGAGACAGCAGAAAAAGCTGAGCATTTAGTTTTTTTAAAAAAACATTTGGTAAAGGAAATTAAAACTTTTTTTTTTCTTTTTGACCGGTAAGGGGATCACAACCCTCGGCATGGTGTTGTCTGCACCATGCTCAGCCAGTGAGCACACCAGCCATCCCTATATAGGATCCGAACCTGCGGCCTCGGCACTACCAGCGCCGCACTCTCCCAAGTGAGCCACGGGCCGGCCCAGAAATTAAAACTTTTTTAAGAGAATGGAAATAGTGGTAGTGAAGAAAAGGGCAAAGTTTTACTTCCAACTTTTACTCAAAAAAATAAGTAAATAAATTTGCACAGTGATATCAACCCACAGAGGCATTTTGAGTAGAAAAAAAATCTTTTTTTAAAAAATCTTTTCTTACAGACACGTCCTATGTCTGTAAGAAAAGCTATGATTCTTTCAGCAAAACAGGTCCACCAAGAGTCTCACCAATGTCCCTTGAGGGACAGAGAGATTCAGCAAGGGAAATAAAAACGAGGCTAGACACCTGTCCCCAAATGAGAAAGAACACACCTGGAGAGCCGCTCAGACAAAGAGAGCCAAAAGGGAAAAAACAGAATTGGAGACGAGACTGTGCTTCCAATCTGTTGCTGGTTTACAAATTAAATCTATTCCTGGAGGAAAGGGATACAGTAGCAGCATACTAAAAACTGGGGCAAGGCACGACTATGCCAGATTGTATCTCCTTCAAGGCTCTGCTCTGGTGACACTCTTTCCAGGAAGTTTCCCAGCATGCCCTGAGCTCAGTTTGGATCAAGTTACCTGCATGAGATTGCCAATCAGCCTGTACACATCTCATTAATGCATTCATTCCCTTATTCTTGTTGATCAGCTAACATACTCTAAGCACTGGTGACAAAAAAAAGGAAACAAGGTATAATAGCACTTAACAAATGGCATTTATTTACGTAGGTGTTGGCTTTCTATCCCCCCCACAACCGCTTCTAGGAAGGGGCCTGTTTCACATCCTCCGGGTCTAGCACAGAGACTAGATGCTTAATGAACAAAGGAAGAACATCAAAGCGTTATTTTTGTTAGTGGGCTACGTTCTCAAACCTGTAGCCCTTTGGGGGGGGGGGGAGAGAAGTGCTAGGCACGATGAGAATGTGAAAAGCATGTTTATTCGGAGTGGAAACAGCAATCCACACCTTCGCAGCACGCACTAAAAGACAGTACAAGAGTCCAGGACGAGATGGCGAAGGTCTTCCTCCTCCTTCCCGCGTGCACGACCGCTGGGATTGGAGGCTCAAGACTGGGGGGTTCTAGGGGCGCTCCCGAGCCCGCCCGCCCGCGCTCCTCACCAGGTCAATGGCCACGACGTCCCGCAGCGCCACGACCCGCCGGATGGACCTGGGCGGGTTCTCGGTCAGGTAGATGAGCCGGTCGCTCAGCACCACGTACTTGAAGGTGTGCTTCTCCGAGTCGGACACCACGATGCACGGCTCGTAGGCGCGGACGGCGTCGTACACCTCGGGCGGCAGATGCCGCCGCAGGAAGGCATCCAGGCGGTTGTTTGTGAGCGCTGGGAAGCCCTTCCACTTTGTCTCTTTTTAAAAAAAAATAATTTAAGTAAATAAGAATTTGTAGAGAAGTAATTTGATGTATTATGAATATCCACTTCATAACCCAAATATGGACTCATATATTCATAGTTAATTCAATGGGTTATAATATGTTCCCATTGTTACTTATTTTCATAGTTAACATTCTACCAATTAGTCTGATCAATTCCTTATTCAAGCTGGATTCTAATACATGCTCCTAAGATGAGAAAGGCACAACAACAGAAACTTGCCCCAGGTGAGAACTTCCATTTTTATTTCAAATCTTAGAAAAGGCATTATCTCACTCTCCCAAAGACCGGATAATGAAAATCCTGGGTCAAATTTGATATTCTTTTTGATCATTTATATTCTCCTTTTCTTCATATTTTACTATTGTTGTGAGCAATTTCACCTCCTTTGTGGAAAGAGGGTATAAATATTACAACCCATAAACAGATATTGTAGACAAAACTGCTACAAAGGGAAAGAAATGTTTGGATCTGGCTACACTTAAGTCCAAGATCATCCCGAGGAACTCAATAAAAGCAAAGAAACAGAAACAGTATTTCTTTTCTTGGATAGAATATACTTGGTGAGTAAGGAGGGAAGTGCCACCTGCTGGCAAAGTCTTAAGTGACCTAGCATTTAATGTTTTCTTAGGATCTGATCATACATCTGATCCTTCATAACTTCATAACTGGATGAAAAGTTCCTTACAAACTTTATTGATAAAGGATGCTGCATGACTATTTCCTCTAAAATAAAGACTATTCCTTATCCAAACCACTCTAAATAGAGTTTGTTGCTTCAAACCACCAGAAAGGCAAAAGCCCTTGACCTTTGCTGAATAACCACTCTTTACAAGAGCAGTTGAGAGGCAAATGACAACGTTAGAGGTGGAAAGTGAGGTCCACATAGGGAAAGAGCCTCATTCTAGGCTGCTATTCTTTGTCTCTCAGACTTCCTGCTTCATACCCATTTTCTGGGACTAAGAAACAATGAGTGGACCAGGACCAGAAAAGACAGTGTACCTGATTTATTTGCCAAGAAGCCCATCATGAACTAAGCTTAACAAACACTAAGATGAGGCACACAAAGAAATTTGACACAGGAATTGGTGGCTAAGGCGATCTCAGTTAAACTTTTAACTTTGTGGCATACAGTGAAGGCAGTACCATGGTTTCCAGGCACTCGGTGTTCCTCACTGTTGCCAAGGTAACAGCAAAATTCAGATTGTAGTAAAAGGGTTAAATAAAGAGGAACGATCACTGGATTTGGAGTCAAGAGAACTGGATTAGAGTGCTCACCCTGTTGCTCACTATCTGTCAGAGTTTCAGAAAGTCACTTAACCTTTCTGAGCCATAGTTTAATCATCTGTAAAACGAAACTAATACTTGCCCTGCCTCCCTAAAAGTTTTGATGTGAGGATCAAAAGTGATGAATTATGAACTCTATGCACATTATAGACACATGAAGGATTCATATTCCCTTATCTTTTGGTAAGCTTTATGTGGACAGTTAACCCAAATGCACCTGAGATAGGCACTTATTCCTTACCCAAACTCAAGAAGTATTTGGTACAGATCCTGTGCAATCAAACACTTACTAAATGTTTTGATAAACCTATCACAAGGAATGGAACATTACTTACCTGGAACTAATCCTCAAAGTCACTCTCCTTGACTTTTCAACAGAATAGAATGGTCTTAGGTCCAGGGATGGTCAATTCAATGAACTTGGAAAGACAATAGTTAGCAGCATAAAACTATAGAGCCAGATGACCCAGGTTCAAATTCCAGCTCTCTCAGTATGATTGAATGACTTTGGGCAAGTTGCTCTATGCTTTTGTTTCCCCATCTGTGAAATAGGAATAATAGTACCGACCCCACAGGATTTTGATGATTATTATTATTATTTTTTTTGTCTTTTTTTTTTTCCATGTCCGGCAACGGATCGCAACCCTCAGTGTCGCCCCCGCACCGGACCGGGACCAGCAATGGGATCGCAGCCCTCGGCGTTGCTCCCGCGCCTCGCTCAGCCAGTGAGCGGAAACTGGTCCGTATGTGGGATCCGAACCCTCGGCGGGAGGGCCGCCGCGCTTCCCAAGCGGTGCACTACAGCAGTGCACCACCGGGGCCGCCGCGCTTCCCAAGCGGCGCACTACAGCAGTGCACCACCGGGCCAGCCCAGGATTTTGATGATTATTAACAAAGCTTTAAAAGTACTTAGAACAGGTACCTGGAATAGAATAAACAAAGTGTTTATAGAATAGGTTCAACAAATATGTGACTTCCTGTTACATATACGAGGATACTTCAAAAAGTTCATGAAAAGGGCCGGCCCGTGGCTCACTCAGTAGAGTGTGGTGCTGATAACACCAAGGCCACGGGTTCGGGTCCTATATAGGGATGGCCGGTTTGCTCACTGGCTGAGCATGGTGCTGACAACACCAAGCCAAGGGTTGAGATCCCCTTACCGGTCATCTTTTTAAAAAAAAAAAAAAAAAAAAAGTTCATGAAAAGATTCATATTATCCTTTAACTCTATCAAATTCTTCTTTGCTGGATGCTAGTCTAACCTTTTTAACTTTAGATTAAGGCTCAAGGCAAGAATCTAATCTACACACAAACACACAAGAGAATAGTATTTCAACTTTTTGTTGTTGTTGTTTTGGCGGCTGGCCAGTTTGGCCAGTACAGGGATCCAAACCCTTGACTTTGGTGTTATAATGCCATACTCTAAGCAACTAACTGAGCTAAACGGTCAGCTCTTTTAAACGGCCAGCTCTTTTTTTTTTTTTTTTTTTTTGTTGCATTTTTAGTGGAAAAGTGACCAGTGGGCTATGTCATGAGAACCCTATAAGGATTTCAAACTAGAAGTACCCTGGGCTGGCCCGTGGCTCACTCGGTAGAGTGTGGTGCTGATAACACCAAGGCCCCGGGTTCGGATCCTATATAGGGATGGCCGGTTTGCTCAATGGCTGAGCGTGGTGCTGACAACACCAAGCCAAGGGTTGAGATCCCCTTACCAGTCATCTTTTTAAAAAAAAAAAAAAACTAGAAGTACCCTTCGGTGGGTCTAGGGATCCCAAGTGTTCCCACTCTCCCAAATTGAAACTAAAGACGGACAGTACACACAGAAAGATACTTGGAATCTGTGTTAAGTAAACAGAACCTGAATTTTTAAAGGTCTCTGATTTGGGGAGATGGAGGGGGGAAAAGGAGGAATTAGTAAAGAGACACAAAAATCAACTACATTTGTATACTGATAAATTTTTTTTTAAAAGTGTCTGATTTAGGAATCGCTTAGTGCTTCTACTTAGCATTAATGAATACTGACCATTTAAATATC